GAGCCAGCTGTAGAACTGATAACACTGCATGAAATTTTAGAGGTAAGATGCTTTTATTATATAAAGATTTGGGGGATTTTGCATAATTGGATCTCATCACAACATATTCAGAAAATACGAAAGAGTATGTGACATACAGTTAGGACCGTTAATTGAAAAGTAGAGTGTTTAAGAATGCGGTGTCAGATTTCTATTTTAATTCCTACCAGATTAAACCTCCAATTTTTGTAGGAGGTGTGGCAATAATTTAGATCAATATATCTTTATTTTCAGATGGAGAATGAATTTTTTTTTTTTCAGTTTGATAAGGATTGTTTTAAAGAAGTTCCATGAGCCTTAGTGGCTCATATTAAGGGAGAGAAATGCTATGTTTAATTAAAAAAAAAATGAGTGTTCCATTTCATGCTGTATTTTGTACTGTTTCAATAAAAGAATTTCTGGAATGGAATGTAATATAATACTTATAGAAGGACCAATTAATTTGTAGTCTTGTGTATTAACTGGGATTATGTCCTTATATGAGGAAATCAATGAATCTGATTTATGCATTTCTAATCAATTTTATAAGTGTGCCAGCATTGCTTAATGCGTATTTTCAATCACAGTGCAATTTCTGAACTTCAATTGCAAAGCATCATTTTGAAGAACTGCTAATAATCTTTTCACTAGCATTTTTCCTTCTTAAATGTAGTATATGAAATGTAATTTCGTATTTCTCCTCCATCCTCACTCTTCAGGCAGTTGTAAGCCTATATGTGTAAGACCTCCCTGGGACGAAAAAGGGTTTTTTCCCAAGAAAAAACTTGATGAGTAACAACTTTCTGGTATTAAGATGCTGTGATCTGGTCACTATGACATTGTTGTATTTAGTTTAAAACCCAGACATCGTCAAAACCATTTTACATGCTTCAAGTATCTCAGCATGCCTATTAAAGCCAAATTAGGCAGGCCTTGAAAACAGATCAGAATTAAAGATAGCCATATTCCCTATGGTATTGAAATCTTAAAGCTCGTCTAATGCTTTAAAATTGCCCTTCATATTTTTCTGATATTGTTAATCTTGAAATATGAACACATACAAGTAATGTCTGATTTCCATTTCGAAGAACATACCACTTCCAAAAATTCAGACTTTTTTTTTAATTTTAGCTAGCTTGGCATAAACTATCAATGTCCCTTATGTGTATTTTATGGGAAGTTGTTGTTTTGTTGAGCAACTGATGCTAGCTTCAAGTGCCTGTTAAATTTCAAAACTGTTTTCTTAAATATAGGTAATAGTTTTTTAAAGAGTCAAATGCAGTCATCTTTGTACTATAACTACAGATTTAGGATTTGCTGTTGTGCAAATATGTTTCATTCACATAATTACAATCAATGCATGTGCTCCCAACCACATCTCCTCAATCTCCCTGTGTTTGTTAAATAATGAAAGTGTACACTTTTAATAAATCCACTTTGACAAGCTAAGTGCATACCTTTATATTATTTAGGTATATCAGTACCTAATTCATTAAATTAACATGAGTAGTAAACAAGCAGTAAACTCTTTTCTCATGCAAACCTCAGAATTTTTATTATACTTTTTATTCTGGTAATGAGCTTTAATTTTTCACACCTGTAGTAGTTCTTTTCCTTTTAAACAGTTTGAGGATTGTTCCTTTCTGATTGAGAATTTAGTGAACATAATTTAACATTTGAAGGACTGTTTATAATACAAATATATGTAAAGTTACAGCCATAAAGGCTATTCTGGGATATCAGATATCAGAAAAGACTAAGTAACAATTAATTGAAAATAATAAATTTGGAGTAAATACTCAGAATTGGGACAAAGGAGTACAAAAGATTTAACTGGAACAATTATTTGGAATGTTCTGAAAAAGAGCAGATTTATTTTTTTCTTTAAGTAACAAAGGGTGGTTAAAGAGTAATGTCCAGTAGTATTTTGCATTTTTTCTTTAGCAATAAAGAGGCAAAATACTTTGTACTTGCTGAAACTTGGAAAGCTATAACATTTAGAAGCTCTGAGTACAAATATGAATTAATCTGGGATGAACAGAGAGTGCACCGTGGGATGGGTAAGGTTATTTAATCTGTAATGTGTGCAATATTGGCCATGGGGAATAAACAGAGTCTCCAAGAACAGAAAAATAATGTCAAAACAGGTCTTTGTTTTACTAGTTCTGTATTTAGACAAAGAACAAATGGCGAGTAAGGAGGTATCAAGAGGAGATGAATTGTTTTAAGTGTTCTTGTCATGCTTGAACAAGAAATGATATTAAGAATTTGGATATTCTATTTATGAAGTTAGCAAATGATTTTATGTGCAAACATTGTGTAGTTCAAGTAGGACTATGATGTTTAACTTTTCAAGGTACAAACATTTATTTCTAACACTACTTACGGCAAGATACAAAATACAGGAAAATTAATTCTTCCCAATCTAAGAAGGCAGGTACCTCTTTTAGCTGAGTGAAATGAAATTTAGAAGTTAATTTTCAATAGTAAAAAATTTAGAAAAATTATAAGATGCACATTCTTCTCTGCTAAAATCTGAAAGAGTGAGGAGAATTACTATTTGTTGACAGCAAGTCATTATAGTTTTGAGGCCTGTGTTTACCAAAAGTCTAGCTTTCCATCTTATGTAATGCTTTTGTTCTTAAACAGATGCTGATTTAAAGGTCAATTATATAAGGATTTACAACCTTCATGTTCAGACGTTTTAGGCATTTACAGTTACACTATCTAAAATCCAGTAAGAATTTTTGACAAATGATGAAAAACTTAGTCTGGGTAAAAGGAGAATCCTGCTTCTAATTTTTACATCAGAAAAGATGTAATGATGTTATTTGTAAGTTCGTCATTTTACTTCTACCTTTAACACATTTTGTATTTCTTCCATAGTCTTGTATTTCTTGCATTGCCCACATAAGTGTCTCATTACAATAATAAGTGTAAATTTGGTTAAAGGAGATAACAATCTAAGTGTTTTTTTTCATTTCCTATGTCTAATCCTTTTGGTCTTCAGATTCTTATTAAAAAAACACTGAAAACACCTCATGAACCCTATGTAACAATCAGTGACTCATTCTGGCCACCTTATATTGAGCTGCTGCTGCGCTATGGAATTGTCCTGAGACATCCAGAAGATCCGAACAGAATCCGCCTAGAAGCCTTTCACATGTAGCATGACCTACATGCTTATTTTAAAACAAAACAACGCACCAGTGCTTGCACCTGAAGGCCTATGATTAATGGCATAATAATGTTTTATAATAAGCTTTTTTGGATTATTTTGTTATGCTTTTCCTATTTAATAAACTCTGATAAGAGTGTGAAATATGAAAAAAGACAAAAATTTCTACTATGACTGCTCACAGGGTTGGCTTTTAGTTTTACGGCAAGTAATGCCAAGACTTGCATTGTGGAGGGGTTTACCTGCTTTAATAAGGTGTAAAGTCAGGTAACAGACAAAGTAAAGATGTTTAACAGTCCTTTGAACTTTAAAAATCACACTTTATATGTTCATATTAACTTTAGATTGCATTAACTCTTCTCAATTTCTTTTAGTATTTTATGGTACTCTGTAGAAGCAAAATATGAAATAGCTCAGCTTCTGTATGTTGTCTTGCAAACATTTGGAACTTAAAGTGAAGTGTCGTCTGAAGAACATGATGTGTTGGGTTTGGTTTGTTTATTTGTTTATTCGTTTGTTTTCCCCAAAGCTTTTGCAAACAGTTTTATTTGCTTTAAGATAAACATTTCAGAAAGCTGACATCTTTTTGTGCAAATGGATACAGTGTTGAGTGTGTAATTCTACAACTGCATGCTTACTAAACAGCTCATAATGCTGTGCTATATTGCCTAATAGGATGTCTTCACTTTTTCAGATCTAGTTTATCAACACTTGTAACAGGTGTCTGTTCTGTTACACATTATGTCAATTGCCAGGTAGCTTCTGAATAATTGCTGGCGCTCTGTGTCATCCTAATGTGCTTTTCTATAGCTCCTGTTATTATAGTATACAGAATCCTACTCTTGGATATCTGCAGGGATTATAACCTTGGGAAATAAAGTTTGCCTTTTATTAACCTAAATTGAGTTTTTTGAGGTATGAACTTTCATGATTTTTCTGTTCATATAAAAATAAAGAATTTTATAGAATCATAGTGGCTTAGCAACTTCATTGACTACTTCCCTCAGGGCACACAGATGCACCTTTGGGGAGTTGATGCTGGCTGGATGCCTGGTACCCACCAAAGCCACTCTATCACTCCCCTCCTTAGCCGGACAGGGAAGAGAAACTATGATGAAAGGATCATGGGTTGAAATAAGGACACGGAGAGATCACTCACCAGTTACCATCACAGGCAAAACAGACTTACCAGACTTCATTAATTTAATTTATTGCAAATCAAATCAGATTAGGGTAATGAGAAATAAAATGAAATCTTAGAACACCTTCCCCCAACCCCTCCCTTCTTCCTGGGCTCAACTTTGCTCCTGATTTTCTCTACCTTCTCCCCCTCAGCAGCACGGGGCGATGGAGAACAGGGGCTGAGGTCAGTTCATCACACTGTCTCTGCTGCTGCTACCTCCTCAGGGATAGGACTCCTCACACTCTACCTGAACTGCTGAACTCCAGCATGGGTCCATTCCTGGGCATGCAGTGGTTCTGGAACAGACTGCTCCAGCATGGGTCCCTCATAGGGCCACAAGTCCTGCCAGCAAAACTGCTCAGGTGTGGCCTCCTTTACATAGGTCCACAGGTCCTGCTGGAGTCTTCCAGCATGAGCTTCCCGTGGGGTCACACCTCCTTTGGGTATCCACCTGCTCCAGCCCAGGGTCCTCCACTGACTGCAGCTGGACATTGCTCCACTGCTAACCTCTATGGGCTGCAGAGGTCAGCCTGCTGCAGCAACGTCTTTGCCACCAGCTGCAGGGCAATCTCTGCTCCAGGCACCTGGAGCATCTCCTCCCCCTCCTTCCCCACTGACCTCGGTGTCTGCAGAGTTGTTGCTCTAACGTATTCTCACTTCCCTCTTCTGGCTGCTGCTTTACAGGGGTTTTTTTCCCCTTTCTTAAAATGTCATCACAGAGGCGCTTCCACTGTACCTAATGGGCTTGGCCTTGGCTAGCAGCAGGTCTGTCTTGGAGCCAGCTGGCAATGGCTCTGTTGGCGTGATAGGTTTGTGTCTGGCTGAGTTTTTGGTAATGGGGTTGTGGGGAGAAGGCTGTGGCAGGGATTCCTTTCGAGAAACTTCCAGACACTTCCAGGCCTGATGAAACTGGCTTGACTCACCCCTGGCTAGGCCAGGCCAGTCAGTACCTCTGGGAAACTTGAGCCCCCCGTCTGAAGACCAGCCCAGTCAGTACCTCTGTGAATCAATGTACTCAGAGGGGAAGCCTGCAGTGGGAGCTCCCCTTTCCCCTGTCTTTTGTGTGGAGGACTGTTTTTGTTTTGGAGAGGAGAGGGAGGCAAGAAAAGAGCAAACATGCCACGGGCAGAGTGGGGAGAATGACATCAGAAGAGCATTCCCTGGAGACCTGTGGTCGTTGTGGCATCAGGCTGAGTCCATGCTGGCCAAGATCAGCAGCAGCACCGAAGGTGCTTGTGATGCAGCCTGTGGAGGACTCCAGGCTAGGACAGAGTGTCACATGCCGAGATTTCAGGGCGATGACTCGGGTTTACTGATTCCCAGGCCAAGATTGAGGTGAGTTACACCGAAGATCCGAACACCAATTTTATTGATCAATCACCAAAGATCTAACAACAATGTGCTTCAGTCATCCACTTAGCACAATCAACACAACACAGAGCCATTAGTGAGCAGAAGAACGGGCCTTGCCATGAAAAGCCTTTTGGTAAGACTAGAAAGAGAGAGGAAGAAAGTGATAGAAAAAGGAAAGATCACAACTCTTGGGTCCAGTGATGACCACGGCACACGCAGCCGTCTTCTTGTTGTGGGTGAAAACTGCGCTTAACCACCCGGGGTTCTCCCCTTTTATACAGTCAAGTTCCTGCCACGTGTTGTTTAGCCCTGGTGGAAAATCACTGGGAATGGGTCTGGGGGATGGTGGGGGCTTCTGAAGGGGTCACCTCTCCCTCTCCCGGATTGACTTCTTCATTTTTGCAGCCCCGGCTCCAAGCCCTACCCGCCCCCACAGCTCCACCGGTGGGTGGACGGGGCAGGAGGCTCAGCAAAGTGCTGGGTCAGCCCGCACCAGCATGGACAGGCACCAGGCAGGTTTGGAAAAGGCCCAGACTGTTTGAGACATTCATTTAGCAGTGCCTCACACAGAGGGAGGCTACAGGAGCAGAGGACACACCCAGAGAGATCTTCGAGTCTGAGAAGGACCCTCACTGGAGTAGGTCAGCTGCAGCCCATGGGTTGATCCCATAGTGGTAGGATGAACTCACAGGGAGGGGGAAAACTGTGTCCCATGAGAGGACATCTTGAGTGCTCTCATATGGCACATGCAGGATAACCAGGAGATCAGGCCCAGCCACCACAGGTTCATGAAAGGCAGGTCCTGCTTGACCAACCCGATCACTTTTTATGACCACGTGACCCACCTAGTGGGTGAGGGAAAGGCTATGGATGTTGCTGGACTTTAGTCAAGCCTTTGACACTGCCTCCCAGTGTTCTCCTGCAGAAACTCGCTGCTCATGGCTTGGACAGTCATGCTCTTCGCTGAGTTAAAAACGGGCTGGATGGCTGAGACCGGAGTGGTGGTGAAAGGAGTTAAATTGAGTTGGTGGCCAGTCACAAGTGATGTTCCCCAGGGCTCAGTTTTGGGGCTAGTCTTCTTTAATATCTTTATCAATGATCTGGATAAAGGCACCAAGTTCATCCTCACTAAGTTTGCAAATGACACCAAATGGAGTGGGAGTGTTGAACTGCTTGAAGGTAGAGAGGCTCTGCAGAGGGATCTGTACAGGCTGGATCAATGGGCTGAGGCCAATTGTATGAGGTTCAAAAAGGCTAGGTGCTGGGTCCTGTCCTTGAGTCACAACCCTTGGCATTGCTACAGGCTTGGGGAGGAGTGACTGGAAAGCTGCCTGGCAGAAAAGGACTTTGGGGTGTTGAGGGACAACCGGCTGAACATGGGCCAGCAGTGTGCCCAGGTGGCCAAGAAGGCCAACAGCATCCTGGCCTGTATCAGGAATGGTGTTGTCAGCAGGAGCAGGGAGGTGATCATGCCCCTAGACTGATGAGGCTGCATCTCAAATTCTGTATTCAGTTTCGGGCCCTCACTCTGAGAAAGGTCTTGAAGTGCCCTTCATGTTCAAAGGACAATGAAGCTGGTGAAGGGTCTAGAGCACAAGTCTCATGAGGATCAGTTGAGGGAACCAGGATTATTTAGTCTGGAGGAGGCTGAGGGGAGATCTCATTGCTCTCTACAACTACCTGAAAGGAGGTTGTAGTGAGGGTGGTCTTCGTTTCTTCTCCCAAGTTACTAGCTACAGCACAAGAGGAAATGGGCTCAAGTTGCACCAGGGGAGGTTTAGATTGGATATTAAGAAAAATTTCTTTCCTGAAAGAGTGGTGAAGCATTGGAATAGGCTGCCGATGGAAGTGGTAGAGTCACCAATTTTTAAGGTGTTCAAAAAATGTGTAGACATAGCACTTCAGGATATAGTTTAGTAGTCTAGGTAGTGTTGAGTTGGCAGCTGGACTTGATGATCTTGGAGGTCTTTTCCAACCTCAAAGATTCTACCATTCTGTGACACCACATGGTGGCAGGGGAAAGCTGCAAGGAGACTTCTGCCCACAGGTGGCACCCCCGACCCCCTAACCCTGTGCTGCTGGAGGGCAGGAGGTAGCTGGGAAGAAGGGAGGGGTGTGGGGAAGGGGTGGTTCACATCTGCTTATATTCGCTTGCCCGCTCTCTATCCGAGTTGATTTGGATAAACTAAATTAAATTTATGTTTGTTTTCTCCCCAGATTCGCTCTGTTTCTTTGCCCATGAACATAAGTGGTGAGTGTCCCTGTCCTAATTTCAATCCTTGAGCCTTTTCGTTGTGTTTTCTCCCTCTCCATTCCTAAAGGGAAGGATGTGGCAGTGGGGGAGTGGCTGCGTAGCTCTTGTTCCTGGTGACTTGGCTTCAAACATTGACAACAGGACATAGGGGAAACTTCCCCTCCATCCTTGCTACCAAAGCTTTGCCACAAAAACCCAAAA